ACCACAGTCATGTGCAGGACTGTGACAGACCATCAAAAACGCCGTGAAATTCTAAAAAAAAAAGAGCATGCTGGTGGAAATGCTTCCGAAACTCACAATCCAGTAATAGCTGCAAAAAACCTAACTGCTCCAACTGTGGACGAGCGCACCATGCCTCCATATGCCTTTCATCCGAGAGATCCGCAGCCAGCGCAGTAAACCCACCGCACGCGTCACGGTAGATGAGAAATGAAACTACACAGAATGGTTTCAACAACAAATTACCGGTAAGTGGCGCATAACCCGAGAACAGGAATGTGAATTCAAGAAATGATATGAGACGTCAACACTCAGGCGCTATACAACCGCTAGTCTCAAATAAGCGCATCGAAAATGAAAAGCGTACATTACCTAGCTACAGCAAAAATGAACAACTTGTTCTCATGACGGCTGAAGGTAATGTTTGGAACCATAAATCACATGATTTCGAAAAAGCTCTATTCTTTTTCGACACCGGAGCCCAAAAAACAGCCATTGAAGAGGCCTTAGCAGAGAAACTTGGTCTACCACGTATAACTTCCGAAACCTGTGTCAACCGGTATTGGTGGACACACCGAAAAATTTGAGAGCCATCTAGTAGCTCTCAGTGGGTACCGCTTATGGAAAAGAGATAGATATAACGATACAAACAAAGCCAAACAGAGACCGACCGCGAATTCTTAGAAAGCAGTGAAATACGTATTGCAAATTCAAAGATTAGAGGCGAACGCCAGATCCCTCATATCTTAGTAGGTCTTGATCGATATTACGATCTCATCATTTCAAACACCACCGCTACACGAACCGCATCAGGCTTGCATGTAGCCAAAACCGTATTCGGTCCAACTATCTATGGTCGTGGTCAAATTGATAACACCAACAATACCACCGCTCTGATCCATTCGATGACTGCTGTATGTCAATGCTCGGATGGCTATAACATTCAAAAACTACTCGAGCTGGAGAATATGGGCATCACCTCTATTGAAAGTAATGCGGACGAGGGTACTTTAACTTCCAAGACTACTCTAAAACCATCATGTTTGATGGGAATTGCATCACAGCACCATTCCCATCAAACATGATGGTTTTAGAGTATTCTTGGACGTATCAAGAAGTTGGCGGCTCTCCAAAGAAACTTATGAGCTAATGGCGTCCAGATGGAGTGGTATCGTAAATTACTCACGGACTACGAAGACCATAATGTAATCGAAAGGGGTTGAAGCAGAAGGAAATGATGTTGGCAGATATTATATGCCACATTTGCTGGCGTATGGCGTGAAGAGGAAGGCCACTCAGAATTGTTTTTGATGTCTCTTTTAAAAAGAAAAAGGAACTTTCTCTAAACGACGTCAGTTACAAAGGAGAATCTTTCGTCAATAAAATTCATGACATACTTCTTGCATCTAGAATAAGCAAATATATCTTACTTTGTGACATTGAGGCAGCGTTCACGCAAATTCGTCTCAACACAACCCATAAAGATTTATGTAGGTCTTGTGGCTATAATATCCTACTCAGCCTCCTTCCAAGGCAAACCTTATAGAATTTCGGTTCACAAGAATACCTTTCGGCGTAACGGCATCCCCTAGTATTCTCAACATGGCCATCTCAGCCTATTTAGAATCTCTTGGGACACCATTTGCGAAAGAAATCGCAAACAACATCTATGCTGGCAACACCCTTTTACTGGCTGGAACCGAAAAGAAAGCTTTAGAAAAATGCACTTTCTAAAAGTATTTTTTCGCGAATTGGTCTAAACTTGACAGAGTATGTTTCGAACTCAGAATTGGTTAAAATACCAATTCATGAACGACAACCAGCCGGTCAAATCAAAATCCTTGGACTTAGTTATAACCCCATGAACGACCGCTTCTCGGTCCATGCTGGTTTCCCACAAAAGGAAAAACTTACAAAACGCGAGATAGTAATATCAATTCCTTATATGACCCAATCGGTATAGCCGGTCCATTGGTAGTAGGAATGAAATCGTTGATGCGCGAAGCATTCAACAATGCACTCCGCTGGTCCGAC